ATGATCCTTTAATTAAGTGGTCTCCCTTCTCCATCTCCTTTGCTTCTGATTTCTGTAAAAAAACGTGCTTACAACACATTCCTATTCTCCAAACTACTGTAGAACCAGTTATACCTCCATTCTACTCCGACTTTGCAGATGTCTTTTGTAAAAAAGAAGCGGAAACACTTCCTCCTCATCGGCTATATGATTGCCCAATAGATCTCATACCCGGAGCTCCTATTCCTTACGGTCATATTTATCCACTCTCTGAAAAGGAATTAGAAATTTTAAAAGAATATCTTAATGAAAATTTACGCAAAGGGTTCATCAGACCCTCGACCTCTCCTGCTGCTTCTAGTATTTTCTTTGTGAAGAATAAAGACCAAACCATCCGTCCTATTATAGATTACAGAGCCTTAAATAAAATAACTATTAAAAATCGTTATCCTCTTCCACTAATAAATGAATTAATTGAAAGGTTAAGAACTGCAACTATATTCACTAAACTCGACCTTCGAGGCGCATATAACCTCATTAGAATAAAACAGGATGATGAATGGAAAACCGCCTTCCGGACAAGATATGGTCTCTACGAATATCTAGTGATGCCTTTCGGGCTCTGTAATGCCCCTGCAACATTTCAACATTTTATCAATGATATCTTTAGAGATCTTCTGGATGTATGTGTTATTATCTACTTAGATGATATCTTAATATATTCTAACAATTTGGATGAACATAGGAAACATGTTAGATGGGTTCTATCTAGACTGAGAACTCATAAATTATACGCTAAACCAGAAAAATGCCTTTTTGAGGTTACTGAATTCTCTTTTCTAGGATACATTATTTCACCTCATTCTTTGAAGATGGATAATTCCAAAATCAAATGTATTATTGATTGGCCTGCTCCTACTACTACAAAAGAATTACAACGTTTTCTTGGATTTGCAAACTTCTATAGAAAATTTATTAGAAACTATTCGGATGTATCACATCCTCTTAACCTCCTCAACAGTAGTAAACGTCCTTTTAATTGGAATAAAGATGCTCAAACAGCCTTCAACGAATTAAAAAAAAGATTTACAACTGCACCTATTCTACAACTACCTAATCCAACATTCCTATATGTTCTTGAAGTTGATGCATCAGATGCAGCCATCGGAGCAGTTCTTTCTCAACAAAAGACTCCACAAGATCCACTTCATCCAGTTGCCTTTTTTTCAAGATCCTTGAGCTCTGCTGAAAAAAATTATCCTATTGGTGAAAAAGAATTATTAAGTGTTAAAGCTGCCTTCGAAAATTGGCGTCATCTTCTAGAAGATACAAAACAACCTATAATAGTTTATACTGACCATAAAAATCTTGAATATCTCTATACTAACAAAACCCTTACAGCTAGACAAGTTAGATGGAACCTATTTTTTAACCGATTTAACTTCCAATTAATATACAGACCTGGAAATAGAAATAAAAAGGCTGACGCTCTTTCTCGAATTCCTTCTAAAACTACTACTGATGATTATCCTTCTACCAAAATAATAGGAATCCTCTCTTCTCTTCATGATGACATAAAGAATTTGAATCAGAAGGATCTTGAACTTCCCAAAACACCTATACTAACAAAAAGGATGGTCTATTTTATTTTAAAAATAGAATTTATATTCCTCCCATTCTTAGGAATAAATTACTTAAGATGGTTCATGATTCCCCCCTAGCTGGACATCCTGGAATAAAGAAAACACTTGAACTAACTTCACGATATTATTGGTGGCCTCGCCAGGATAGAACCATTGCATTATATGTCAAAACATGTCCTATCTGTCAAAGGTCTAAACCAGAACATAATCAACCTTTTGGATTACTACTTAACTTACCTATTCCAGAAAAACCTTGGCAATCCATTTCTATGGATTTTATCGTTGATCTTCCACCTTCTCAACATTTCACCACTATTCTTGTCGTTGTGGATCGCTTCACAAAAATGTCCCATTTCATTTCTTTAAAAAATTACCCTCCTCTGTAGAATTGTCTAAGGTCTTTATTGACAATATTGTGAAACTTCATGGTCTTCCTGAAGAAATTATTTCTGATAGGGGGACACAATTTACCTCCAAATTCTGGAAAGAGATGTGTCTCTCCCTTCAAATTCAACGCAAACTCTCTTCCGCTTATCATCCCCAAACTAATGGGCAAACAGAAAGGGTTAATCAATGTTTGGAACAATATCTTCGATGTTATTGTTCATACCTCCAAGATGACTGGACCACATGGTTACCTATGGCCGAATTTTCTTACAATAATACCATTCATTCTAGTACGAAAATGACTCCTTTCTTCTCCAATATGGTTTTCATCCGTCTTCATTCCCCATCCAAACCATTACTTCATCCAATCCTACTGTTACATCAAAAAACGAATTTATGTCTTCTCTATTTCTCAAATTACGGGAGAATCTTCAACTCGCCCAAAATAACCAGAAAAAGTTTTTTGACAATAATAGAAGAATTCCCCCTCCTTACAAGGTAGGGGATCTTGTCTGGCTCTCTTCAAGGAATATTACCACAAGCCGTCCTTCAAAGAAATTGAGCTCTCTTTTTCTTGGTCCCTTTCAAGTAATTACTATCATTAATGATAACGTTGTTAAACTAAAACTTCCTCCAAGTTTTAAACTTCATCCAGTATTCCATGTCTCCTTACTTAAACCACACATCCCTGATCCTTTTTATAGAGAAATAGTAACATCTCCTGAACCTATCATTGTCCAAGGTGAAGAAGAATATGAAATTCACAAAATTTTGGATTCTCGTGTCCACCGTGGCTCCTTACAATACCTTATCAGATGGAAAGGTTATGGAGTTGATGAAGACACTTGGGAAGATTCATCTAATGTACATGCTAGGAGGTTAGTTACTGCCTTTCACAAACGCTACCCCTCCAAACCGAAATAGTGCACCCAGAGGATGCCCCATGGGAAGGGGGTACTGTCAGGTATAGCATGGCATGTAATTCATCGCCGGAACCCACTTCCGGGTTCACGGCGCTCAGCCCCGCCCCTTTCTCTGACGCGGTCCCTCCACGATACTTAGGAGGACCGCGCCAGATTCAAAGGGCTGGATTATTCGCACAGGTGCTGCATGAAGATCAGATGCTCTACTTTTGATCCTACCTGCTCCACTTCTATACCTCGGCTAGTAAACGGATTTCTACCTTCTCCACTTCTCGACCTCGGCTTGTAAACGGATTTCTACCTGCTCCACTTCTATACCTCGGCTAGTAAACGGATTTCTACCTTCTCCACTTCTCGACCTCGGCTTGTAAACGGATTTCTACCTTCTCCACTCCTAGACCTCGGCTTGTAACTCTGAATTCTACCTTCTCCACTCCCAGACCTCGGCTTGTTAAAACGGACTTCCCCACTCTCCACTCCTAGTTCTCAGCTTGTTGAAACGGACTTCTAATTTCTCCTTCATTGGGTGAATTAACCCTTCCAGTACCAGAACTGCCTTTAAGTTAAGTAATACTTTTACCAAACAAGTCAATTCCTATTATTTATATTACACAGTATCTAAAACTCACTAAAGTGTCACTTTGTCTAATTATTCCTCTTACTCATAAGGGATTGCTACAAAGCCTAATTTACCTTCATGGATATTTAAAGGTACAGTGACCATTGTTTCATACCAATATAAAAGGAGGTGAACCTTATTGTTGTTGCAACCAAGAAATGCTGCAGTTGAGTTCCAATTAAAGAAATATTACAAAATAAGTATTACAGGGGCTTACTGAACCAAGTACCACACAGGCGGACCACCCAGAAGTGGAAGTGTGCCATCAATTTACCTCCCAGGCTGGAAGGCTGCTGTAGGTAAATTACCGACCGCTGGGTGGCCGCCGTTCGTTCAAACGAACATGTGGCCATCTTTGTTCAGGCGAACGCAGTCAGCGGTGTGTGCAGCCAAATCCATGGAACTGAAATCGGCTACACATTTGAATGAACACCGCTGACCCTTACCTTCTCCTCCACTCAGTTTTCAGCCGTGGCGTCTAAGTCCAGTTTGGCGATTTGAACATACAGTGAGAATAAGCTATTTGCACGAACGGTGCCCCATTCGTGCATGCGAATAGGACTTAGTCATTTTTTCAGTGTAAAATTGACCGACCGCACAGCCCAAATCTATGAAACTGTTTTGGGCAGGAAAATGTGCTTGCGGTCGGTCACAAAGAACTTCCGACTAACTTTTTAACTACTGGAGGGATTTGTATGATTTTTGAGAGTGTTCATATTTGAAGTATGCTGAGTAATAATATGTGATTTTTATGGAGATTGGATGTATAGTTTTAAAGTTATAGTACATGTGTAAAAAGTATATTTTTCCTGCCTGTGATAATTACATTAACCCATTGTGTACAGTAATTGTGTTTTACTGTATATTACGTGTTTTATTGCTTGTTTTACAAAACCCTGTGGGTGGTACTGTATGTGTAAAACGTGCATAAAAGAAGGCCCTTTGTGGCTGACTAAATCAGAACTACTTGACCCTCTAACTCGCAGCCTCGACTCGTGTTTGTAGGGAACAGCTATAATCACTACAGGGATTGCTATGCTCTTCATACTCCCTTAGCTACTGAGCTCTTGTAAGAGCTCTTGTTTCTGATCCTGCTTCGCTCTACAGAAGGAAGAGGTTCACTCACTGGAATCTGGAGCCTGGTCATTGGTCCAGGGCGGATTGCAGCTGGCGAGATCCAAGCCCAGCAGCCGCGGTTCATGAAGTCTGCAGTAGTTATGGTATCTACGGTGCTGATGGTCCTTTGGTGAGTGCTAGGTGCATCCTTTCTATGGTCCAACTTTCAGCGAGCCTGGAGGCAACCGTAATGAGATTGTTATCCTGCTTAGACGTACCAGCTTGGGGTTGCTTTCAGCGGTCATTTGAGGGGATTCTTACTACTCATGGCCAAGGCCTAGCAAGCGTTGTGGTAGGGTGAGGCGGCAGCTCTCCCAGCTGGACACATGCTGCCTAATGGAACCGAAGCCCCGCAATCCCCCCATGGACCAGCGTGGGGAGATCCTGGTCCCCAACCTGAGGGCTGCTTACCTCTGTGGGTGACCTGTGGTGCTGCCGCAATGGTGCTCCTGCTGCATCCAAAATGGCAGAGGCCGAGTGTGCCTTGACAAGCATAAAGGAAGGGCCCAGAATGCTTCTCCGGCTGGACGGCCTTTTTGAATCCTTCTGGCAGAAACTGCAGCCTCCCACATAACGTCCGGTATAAATCTTACCTGCACAGCCCATACGACGTCCCCGTGCTTGATTCATGGCTACAGGACCTGCAGTGACCCACCTCCGGCGGCCAGAAGAGAAAGGCACGCAGGCACCCACCGAAATGGAGACAGGGAATCCTTGGGAAGGCTGCGGCACGAAAGGATCTGTGGCACATCAAACAAAGCCAGACCGACCATCAGGCATACTTGGCACCTGGGCCTCTGGCGCTGCGCCTACAGACTGGCGATCTGAGTCGTGACTGTATCATATCCACAATGGGAATAGGCTGAACACCTTGTCTAGTCACTCACTGGCACTGCTTGTTAACCCGTGGCCTACAGATCACTAATGCAACATGACACATGTCTCTTCCATTTAACCTTGTTATATTCTGAAGCCTGATCCCCTAAAGCGATGCCACCCCTTTAGGGGATCTCTACCGATAAGTCATGCATGTCTAGCTAGTCTACTAACCTGTTTCTATTATGCATTATTCATGTATACCAAACCTGTTATTTTTATTATCTAAAAAAAAAAAGAGTCTACATTACTAAGGAGTTACCTCTAATATGTCTATTGCCAATGACGTAGTAGTACCCTTTCATGTCTTATAAGCTTGTATATGTATGCATACCAATGCTCTAACTCCTACTTGCTTATATAGTAACTTGCAATAGCCTTAATAAAACACAGATTGAAAAAAAAAACATGCTGAGTTGCAGATATATTTTTCCCAATTACATTATGGCTTAAAATGTAAAATGCGCAATCAGTTACTGTGAATTCATAGTTTAGTGGATAACCCTGTATATTGTTTCTGCATGGGTTCTTATGGTTACTGTTTGAGGAATCAACTGATTATTTTGTAATAGTGCTTTCATTATAAATCTCAGTCATTTATTTCCAATTTAAATCCAAGGTGTTGATAACTGTGACCTACAACAGATTCCATTTTAAAAAGTTGACTGTTTTAAGATGTATTAATAGGTGCAATTCTCATCCTTGATTTCCATAAATGTATTTTGAGACACATTCCATTGGAATTTAATTCATTTTTGCACTTAAGGTTTCAGGACACATTTATATTTGCATGACGTAACTGTTCTGGGTGGCTTGAGGTTTTGTGGTTTGGAAGGTTTTACAGGATTTCAGTTTTAAAACTAGGAAAGAAATACACTTGCAGATGATGTGCTTGTCTGGCTAACGACTTGATAGGATTGAGACAAGAATAGGATACAGGGGAAAATAGCCTTTTTTCCCCAAAAGATTATTTCCATTATGCTCAAAAACAGATCTGCATGTGATATATAATAATATAGTGTGTACAGCATACCGAGATTGTAAAACCATTAATACAATGTATATATTTGTGAAATGGAACACACAATAAAATGAACAGAATGATATATTTATGCAATTAGAAAAGTATGGCCCCTTATGGCCACCCACACAATCTCATTTGCATGTATGGTACATTCTCAAATGTATTCCTATAAATCGTTAGGACACCATCAAATTCACCAGCCAAACCCCAAGACTAGTAGATAAGGGCAAACCAGCAGGGGTAAAGTGTCACAAATAGCCACCTGTTTTTATTTTCACAAACTTCTTCAGGGAATGCAAAGCTCAGTTAAGAGTACAACTTAGAGGTCTATGGAGCATCATGTGAGACCTCAGGGTGCACAGGATATCCTCTAAATCAGGGGTGCCCAAATTGAGAGGATTTAGCTTCATGGGAGTTGTAGTTCTACAACATCTGGGGATCTACCTTTTGGGCACCCCTGTTCTAGATTGTAAGCCCAGATGTTTTAAAACTACAGCTTCGATGATGCTTTGCCATTCTAAAGCATTTTAAAGGCATGCAAAGCATGATGGTAGTTGTAGGTCTACAACATCTTTTGGGCACCACAACATGTAAGAAGAAGTCTAATATGTCCAGCTGTTGCTAAAGATGGCTAAAAAAAATTGACTAAAGTCCATTATGGAAACTCTGTCTTGTGGCAACTCTTTTCACTTTGGGTTTCGTGATAAGCCTTTCTCTTATGATATCTTTTGATTGTTTTGTAATTTCTATGACATTCCAATGCAATTAGTTTACTTTTTTAAAAGCTCTTTCACATGAATAAATACTAAAAGGGAAATGTGTTCATAGAGGACCAACATGCAGTAAAATAGGATAATGTAAAATATCTTTAGAAATACACAAGCATAGCGATAATGATCTAAAACAGGAATTATTGTGTTAGGGCTCTCAAAAACCTAATTATACACAGGAACGACTATGAAACATAATCTAATAGCCATTTTCTTTGCTCACATTTTACATACATTATTGACCTGAAAGGAGTAGATCAAAGAGGTTAGTATTTCCATTTCTTCAATTTTCATATTTTTCATAGAAAATGCCAATGCCATTTATGCTGTGAATTAGAAACTTTGTACTGATATTCCCTGTGTAACTGGGACTGTGTAATATCCTGGGGAGTAATGAGGCGGGAGTTGTTTAAAGTCACCTTACCCCTTAATTAAAACAAATGCAGCTTTGTGGATTCAGATGCTTTAGCTAACTGAAACTGACACTGTTTATTGATCTCATTGTGATGCAAATTGAAAGCTTCCCCTGCAGGCAGCCCAGATTATAGCAAAGCCAGGCTGGTGCATCTATATTAGCGTCAATATCCATGGAAGGATATAATACTGTCAGAGCAGATAGTGGAAGCCGACGGCTGAAAAGGGATTTAAGAGCAAAGATCACAGTCGTATATACTATGTATCATCCAAGTTTTTTCCTTGATACAAATATAAAGGCACATATAGGTAAACCTATAGCGATTTCACCAGAGGTATACGTGAAAGGGAAAAACCCAACAAACCCTCTAAAAATCCCTAATACATAAGAGGAAAAACACATAAAAATTGAAAAAATATACATAAAGGAACAAAAGAAAATAAGAGGCATATGGAGAGAGAGAGAGAGAGAGAGAGAGAGAAATTAGACGTGGGTAAAGGTGAGAAATCTCTCTACCTTTTAGAGACCTGGAGTGGATCCACAGCCTGGGGTCCAGTGGGTTGCCGCAAACAAAACAGTTGACCAGCAGGAGAGAAGTGCACAGCACTCCTCTCCTGACAGTCATTTACTGTAGTGTGGCTGAGCGCCAGTACCTCCGCAGCCCGGCGCACGAGGAGAGGATGCGCAAGTGAGCTCTGATCCAGATCCGTATTTCCTGTATAGCTTCCTCATGTGGCCTGTAGAGGTCCTGGAAGCTGAAATATGATGAAATACGGATCTGGATCAGAGCTCACTTGCGCATCCTCTCCTCGTGCGCCGGACTGTGGAGGTACTGGCGCTCAGCCACGCTACAGTGGCTCCTGCTGGTCAACTGTTTTTTTTGTGCCCCCCGAGCCGGAGCGCCCTAAGGTGGCGGCCTGTGCCGCTTTATGGTAGCGCCGGCCCTGATAACATGTTCTCATTGCATAGATTTGGTGCAAGAAGTTACCATGTTATTGTTTCCCAGCACACAATTGCAGCTATAAAACTACTCATTCTCCCTCTTATGTCAAAGTAGTAAGCATTCAAATCACAAAAAACATGGGCATACTGCATGTACAATGTAGGTAGGTACCAGCGAGGGATGATTTGCTTGCAGTATATATCAGTAAATTACCAAGTATAGATAGTAATGTACAGAGATAGAGCTACATGCCATAGAGCTCTAGGTGAAGAATTATTTCAGGACTCCGTTTGCTCTTACCTGATGTTGATTTTTAGACATTAAGAGTGCTAGAACACTAGATGGGACCCAAAATATGGTACTTATTCATGTAATTTAAGTAACGAATTGCAGTTAGTTGACAAATGGAAAAAAATGTTCCAAGAATGTTCCAATTTGTCTTTTTTAATTTATCACAAATTTTCAGTTTACTAAATATATCCTTTGGAAAAATAATGTCAGAAGAAATATAATTAGACTGATTGTAGGGTAGAGATGGGAAAATATGAGCTATAGGGACAATGAAATAAAGTGGAGAAGCAAAGCAATTCTTTAACAGGCCTATGGGTGACTGCTATCCTCTAGAGAAGGGGTGCCCAAAAGTTAGATCCCCAGATGTTTTAAACTACAGCTTCATGGGAGTTGTAGTTCTACAACATCTGGGGATCTACCTTTTAGGCACCCCTATTCTAGATTGTAAACCCGTTTGAGCAGGGTCCTCATCAACCCGTAACATTTTGTGATTGTCTCATTTATTGTTACATTTCTCCCTATATAATATTGTAAAGCTCTGGTGAATAAGTTGGCGCTATATAAATACAGATCTTAAAAATATTAATAATAATAACAATAATAAAACTCAAAAAGAGGACAGGTGAGATTACAACAGGCTGAAGATTATTTGGTTTCCTTTAAGATTGATCTACAATGTATATTAATTCTGACGAATTATTTTATATTAATTATAAAATATATTCTCCTATCCACCTCTGAGTCAGTGATCCTTAGCTGTGAAATCATAGTGATATAATTCTGTGATGTCATAAGGGTAACTGCTGCTATGAGTGCTTGAACATTCTATTTCCCCCAGACATACCTGGAGCTCATATGTCTGGGGGAAATATATATATATATATATATATATATATGTGTGTATATATATTTATGGGCCAAATAGTAATGGCCAGATGACTGGGTCAGAGCATCTCCAAAACGGCAAGTCTTGTGGAGTGTTCACAGTATGCAGTGGATAGAACATACCAAAAGGGATGCAAGGAAGGACAACCAATGAACCGGCATCAGGGTCATGGGCACCCAAGATTCATTGATGCATGTGAGGAGTGAAGGCTAGCTTCTCTCGTCCGATCACACAAAAGAGCTAATGTAGCTGAAACTGCCGAAAAGCTTAATGCTGGCCATCATAGGAAGGTGTCAAACACACAGTGCCTTCTATGGGGATGTGTGCATCAGAACTGGACCATGGAGCAATGGAAGAAGATCTGATGCTCTGATGAATTTTCATTTAAATCAGGTGAACTGCCAGATGCGGAGAGATTCCCCTCAGGAAGGCTTGAGGGCAGAAACGTTGGGGCTACTGCTTCTCCTGCTCTAGGTTAGTAAACCTGATTTTATGAGTGTATATATTTAACCTTCAGCACTTTATTCTAACTATA